ACACCCTCGGTTTCCTCCTTAGGTAAAATCGGCATGATTTTATCCCACTTCTGACACCAATTGTTACGAGCTTGAGGTTCGTGACAATAAAAATTGCCGATAAAATTACCTAAATTAACACTTTAATTTACTTTACACAAATTAAACTTAAAAACACTAATAATTAAACACACTTATTCACTTTATTCCGCTCCGAAGCTTCGCTTGTTTCGCCAAATCAACACTGCCGCGATCGCATCTTGCAGCGCCTACATATTTAAATTAGCAAAGAAATATGCAGAATGTTCAAGTAAACACGCGCAAGGTACCGAGCGTTCGAGTTTCGACTAGGCGCTGTCGGTTGAGTGATTTGTGATGTCATTTTCTCAATGCTCCCCTCGCTCTCGTTCCTGACACTAGATGGCGCTAGTTGACTTATTCATGCAACAATATTTTATTATGTCAAATAAGTGTCTTACAGTTTATTTCAAGCGTTATGGTAGGGATGTATTTTTTAATTATTACTTTATGTAAGATGCATAATTTTGTAATTTATTTAGCCAATAAAAAACTGCTAAGAAGTTTTGTAATTATTAAAAATCACAGTAAATGTATGTTTGTCGCTACTAGTTGGGGGAGAAAAAACAAAAACTTTCAGGAGTGGTCTTCAGTATTCCTCTATTAGAGTCGTTATTTAAATTATTAAAAAACCTTATCAATTGCTGTATTAGAATATATTGCGGGATTTGTGGCAGAAAAAGGTTCAGATACCATGCAAGAAGAAGCAGTGACAAACTGTCTTATAGAAATTATATTAAAAAATAACTTTGTTCAGAAATGAACAAATAGAAATAATAATAGTTTTTATAAAAATCTATCATGATCATGAAGTGGTGGATGAAATGTGATATCCAGGTTGTTATCCTGCATATCATATTTCGTGATCATGCCAGATTTTCGAATTTTTCGAAATTTGATAATATTTTTCATTTAAAATCCGAATGGAAAAATAAAATATGATATACAACTTGCTTGTATAACTTAATAATAAATAAGTATTGATTTTTAAAACATTATTATACATTAATAATATGGGATCTGGGATCACCATCCCAGTAATACTTTCAACACAAAAGAAGGATTTAATTTCTATCTACACAAAAGCCATAAATCAGTCAGTCACATTTATTCGCCAGATTAGTTATTTGACGATTGAAAATTCAGGCCTGTATCTATGTAAATACCTACAGAATAAAGTAAATTAAGCAACAAATCCAATTATATAAAATGTAAAAAAAAATCATATTAGTTAAAATATCGATATCAGCTGCGCATATTGCAGAGTTACAACCCTATAAAAGGCGGCCATTTTATGCGTTAGATTTTTGTAGGTAGTCACGCTAATTTTGTAGGTACGCCCAGTCCACATACTTCTAAGTCAGTGACATGTATGCCATCCCCATTTGTTACGCCACTTTCTGGCATTTTTTCGTCCTCAATGTAGTGTCAACGCATTTACTACAGTTTTGCTCAAAATTTATTAGAGGTGTCCGTGGGCCAATAGGCACTTATTAAAAAAAGTAGAAATTAATTAAAAATATTTTATTTTACAAATGACATATTAAAACAGAAGAAAGTACCTCAAGTACTATAATAAATGTCACAGAACGATGTTTTCTCTTCAGACCAACCAAGAAAGAGACAGTTCTGCGAACATTTCAAGTGATAAAGAAATCATGCTTGACTTGTTGATAAATCTCTTTTCTTTTTATTGATCAGGCTGCTATAGTTCACGGCTGGATGCGCACATATGTACCTAAAACCATGTACCATGTTTAGCATGGTTTTGGCTTGGCCTTTGCTTCACTTGAAAGTACGCAGTGCTCAGTCTTTCTTTCTTTGTTAGTCTGTGGCCATTTTGTAACATAAAATACTTATGGATTTAGTATTAGCGTTCAAAATGTCAAAATTAAAAAAGAGAAAATAAGATGGTGGCACGGCGCAAAATATATTCTTACTAGAACTCCAATATGAAAATAACACACACAAGTTGGAACATTAACAATCATGTAATATATTGTATAAATTGATTTTTGATCATTTCAAAACATTTACATGCTGTATCACTTGCAGTTATTGAGGGCTAATGTTTCGCTCACTAGGTGTCGCTAGTTATTGAGGGCTAATGTTTCGCTCACTAGGTGTCGCTAGTTGGGTGATAGTTGAAATGAATTTATTTGTTACACATACAAAGTCTCAGTTAGATACTGTGCTCTTTAAATTTTTGCACATTTTTTTTAAAATCTATTAATAATTCTTTTACTATTTTAGGAATACCCAGTTTAGTTTATTCCAATTAATAGAAAATGTAACTAATCTTTCAGAAAGAAAAATTTATCTTTACTTTTGTATAACACTGTCAATTATTTCACGTTATTCCAAAGTGACGCCGCCCTGATGGTTAAAAAATTGTTAAAGCCCCCATTGGTAATGTCTGTGTTCCGAAATAGAACCCAGTATACTGGCGAATGCAAATGACGTCATTGATTGACGCTATATTGTACTGGCGTGCCGCCGCCATATTGTGTAGGATATCCCGGCATATTAAAACAATTTTTAATTGTGTGTACGCTGAATGAAGCATGCCAGAATTTGTTTTGATTTATTTACATATAAAAAATGGCAGAGCTTAAACAGTTAAATCTGAACGATTGAAATAATGAAAAATCAAACTCATTCTTTGTTAATGAGGAAGAGTGGTCAAGAGCATGTTTGATGTGGTATACGATGTATTACTGGCCAATGTTTTGAAACGAATCACCAGTCTGGCGTCGATTTTTGACGTCATTTGCATTGGCCCTAATGGATTCTATTTCGTAACACAGGCAATATAAATCGGTAATTTATGTTTATCAATTTTAAAATACAGATAAAACTTACATTTTAATTTTTACATTATTAATTTTGATTTAACAAGTACAAAAAACTAAGAAAACAAATTCCTGTTTTAAACATTAAATGTTTTTTTTTAATATTTAGACCGGAAATATTAAGGCGATATATCTACTTTTAAGCGATTTTACTTACTTATATGCCGATTTTGTATCACTTAGTCTAACATACGGCTAACAGTGATTTATATACTCTTTGACATACAGATGCAGGTTTTTATGTTTTGAAAGTGCTCTAAAATTGGATAAGAATATGTAAGGCATTGAAGAGTGTAATGGAATCATACTCGATAAGTCCTATTGGTATTTTGTTCATATTGTGATGTGCATTTGTATGAGCAATATTTACTCTGCTCTAAGTAATAGTATTTTTCTTTTTAAATTTATTTATTAACTTTCTTTTTTCTTCAATGACACACTTCTACATTAGTTACGAATATAAAAAGTATTCTTAAGAGACATTTTCTTAAGTTTGAGGTAGCTAAATACGCGTGAAAATTTTTCACTCCGATTTTAAAACACTTTCCTTTTAAATTATGTATAATTATTTCTATGTAGGATAGCTATTATATAACCTTCATATTGAGTTTATACTATTAAGGCAAAATTTCACACTTGTCAAACTATAATTGACTACACGATGCTTTTTATAAAATGGCTTGATTACAAGAATAGAACTGAGTGCTAAATACATTTTTTTTTAATTTTAAATCACAGTATTAATAATTATATGTTACACAAAACAAGTTTTATTATTTCTTTTTTATCTGTATGAATAGCTTAAAGCACCCTTACTTACTTACTAATTTGTGAAATACTCAATAGTCACATAGCAAACATTAATTTAGTAAAAAAAACTTAGTTAACAAGAAATAAGTAGAAGAAATTTAAAGTATGTTTTAAGTATTTTCTTTGACTAAACATTACATTTTATAAATAATATACATACGTAGAATGTATGATAGTTGATTGTTACCTACATAATATTAGTCTTGCTTAATAAATCAAGAACTGAATTAATTTATAGTAAAATAAGCGTTGGTCTAATAAAATAATAAAACTAATAATAATTGTGCTAATGTGTACGCATAAAGATATATCTTGTATGCCTAAGATCTTAATTGAAAAATATGATAGGACTTACTGGATAAGGATAATTAAAAATATTGGTAACTACTTTTCAAAATACAAGAATTAAAAGAACTGGCTGTGAAAATGGATTAACATATTTTAACTATAACACAATATGATTAAAACTACTTTTACGTATCCTTTACTTTTTATTAATCCCGACGTTTCGGCCTTTCCAGCACCCAAAAGGGAAAAAACCGAAAATTCATGTTCGTTATAAAATCTTTATAACACAATAATTAATATTTTATAACATATTTTAATCTATAAAATATTTGAATTCCATTAAATCGTGATTTTGATTTGAAAGTTCACGTAATGTTTCACTTTCGCGTCTTTGTTATGATTTAAGCCGTGCCAAAAATAGTTTTGTTAAATATGACTTGGTTCATAGAAGTTTACGTTATGACCAATAAAATAAATAACCATAGATATAACGTTATCTTAAATAAACATGCTGTCTCGTTTGATTTAAGAAAAGCATAGATAAAATATTCTATTTTTTTTAAGATTGGCATGAAAAAGAAACATTTTTCTACAAATTCATATTATGTTATTAAAAGTATACTAATACCAAGTACTCAAACTGGCTCCAACTGCTGCAATATAGATTAAAATGGAATTGAATAAAGGTATATATTAATAAATACTATACGTGAATGGACCCTAGAATTTCTTTGAGGATATCTATATTTTACACCACTTACAATCAGAGACAATTTCATATATATTCAGTTATGTAATATAATATAGTAAATACATAATATAATAATATACGTAAATAGATACCGATATGTTGCAGTTCGTAAATGCTCTTTTTATATTGAAGATATTATATTTTATGTGTCTCAAGTTGCAAATGACGTAAATTACACTTTCAAATGACATAAATTGACAGATTTTTTTACAATTATATGACAGAACTCATTACAATCTCCATTACGCTTTTCCGCCTAAACTTTCTTTCGCTCTTTCTGCCATTCTTCTCTTTTTATGAATAAAAGGTACAAAACCCCACAAAGCAGCTCCACAGCATAATATTAAACCAAGAGTCACGAATAACGACTTATAGGAGTGAGTGTACTCAAACCACAAACCGCAGATAGGTGGCCCGATTAATTGCAGAATACCATTCATAAACAAACTTATACCGTACGAAGACATCAATCTCTCTGTACCGAGCATTTCTGTCATTACGAGGGCTGTGACACCCACGTTAATACCAGACGCGATACCAAATATTGAACAGAAAGCGCTAATAGCAGAATAGCTCGACACTAGCGGTATCAACGCCAAGCTTATACCGGAAATGAGTAAACCCGTTATAAAAAAATAGCGTTTAGGTGTAGTCACTACATCCGATATAGCAGACCCACCAATCCTTCCGACCAGATCCAAAGCCGAAATTATCGACAACAAGTACGCCCCTAGTGATTTGTCAAATCCACATTCAACCGCGTATGACGGCACTAAAATGATAAAATTTGTGTAAGAAATGGCACAAGTGCAGTTAGAAATTAAAATTACTAGATATATTGGATCCTTTAGTAACTGCACATCGAAGTATTTACTTGGCTCTTTTTTTCTATTGTCATCTTTTGGTCTCTTTTTGCAACCACAACAATACGATATCGGTGCTAAACTGTCTGTGATAGACTTAAGACTGAACTGTGAAGCAAATTCACTTGGCTTCTCGAACGCGGAGAGTGTGGAACCGTGAAATGGAGTTGACATATACTGAAAGCTTGAAGTAGAGGGACTGCGTTTTGGCGTTTTCGGTACGGCGAGTTTTCTACTGAAAGTCTCATGTGAGTTCGCGCGCCCAGGCTTCCCTTCGGGAACGGATTCTAATAATGACGGGTTGCTCGGTAAATGATTAGAGATTTTGCTTGATATTTGGGGTATCCCGTGTTTTGAAGACGTCGAGATTTTTCTAGTTCTTTCATCCGCCAGTCGCATAACTTGAGCAGCACTAGCGGACCGCGCGAAGTCAAACTTGTTGAGCGATTTGTCGTCCAATGCGACGTTGGATCGATGCTTGAAGATGGGCGGAGACCCGTTAGAGTATCTATCCGCTGTGGGGGTGTTGTCTTCAGATGTGAGCATCAACCTCGGGTGACTTGTCTCTAGATCGTTAGGGTCTTCTTCAATGAATGGTTCAAGCTGAAAAAGAAAATTTATATGAAAATAAAACTTTATAAGTTATACCTACTTAAAAGAAACTTTATTTTAGTTGCCTATTTATCACCTATTTACATCGTCTATTTACATTACCCGACTGCTCTAGAAGGAGGGTAAACTTTTTTGAAAATATGTATGTATGTATATCTTTCTGTTTATTTGGCACACTCTATAAGTTAAACCACTTAATGGGGCATAATATATGAGATGTCGTTAGATTCGTCTAACTGTGACTTATGCTATATTTAAATTACAATTTTAACATTTGGTGTTGTATCATTACGACGTTTTGAAACTGAGTATGCTCACTGCTGTCTGTTTACCGAATCATGTGGTGGCAGCGTAAGAGAATCATACAATCACGTGGCCAGTTAAGGGAATTCCCGGCGGTCTTATGGCACCTTCAAATCTCCAATAGATGGCACTAGTAATGCAGCCTTACGATTCAAGAAGTCTGGTACTGCGTGGTACTGGTCATCAATCTGCGTTTTAAACCTTACGATTATGGAAAATCTCCACATGAAAGCAGCTCGCACAGAATAAAAACGTGTTTCGTATTGTTACGAGCTTGAGGTTCGTGACAATAAAAACTGCCGATTGAAGTACCAAACTTACACTTTTATTACCGAACACCAATTAAAACTCAAAAGACACTAATAATTAATCACACTGATTCACTTTAATTCGCTCCGAAGCTTCGCTTGTCTCGCCAAATTCAATACTGCCTCGATCGCGTCTTGCAGCTCCTTTAAATACACACTTTTCACCGAAACATCCAGAATATTCAAGTAAATACGGGCGCTGACCGACCAGGCTCAGAAAGTTCGAGTGTGGGGCTTCTAGAAAGCTTAATTATCTGTTCGATACTAGATGGCGCTGTTGGTCGAAAGTCAAGATTGACATTTTCTAGGAAGCCCTCCTCGCTCTGGTCCCCGACACTAGATGGCGCTAGTGCCGGGTACACGACGTCAACTTAGGCGCGCAACACTGCCCCCTCCTAAGACATGCTCGTCCCGAGCATTATCAACCTCACTATCACTATCACTATCATAATAACGCGCCAGGCGATCCACATGGACGATCTTAGGAGTCCCTCTTGCGCCTTTCTGTAACGGCTCCGCAATGTCAAGGGCTGTCCTATCCCATGGTGCACCAACATTGTACAATTTCGATGCTCCTCTACTACGTGTCTGAGGTCCCCTCACAGCCGCACAACTTGTACATGTGCGACACCAATCCTCGACATCGTCACGATAATGGACCCAGTAAAACTGTTCTCGGATCTTCAGTAGAGTTCGTTTAACTCCCAGATGGACTCCTGGACAACAATTATGGTGCTTTAGGGTTTTAGGGACAACCATTTGCAAACGACAGCTGTCCCATTGGGCCCAATAGCTCTAGTGGTCGAACTCATCGCTGAGACGTCGCTCCACTTAGGCTTGGTAGCACGGGCCTTTATCCATTCCAGAATCGGCTTGATGTTCGGATCTTCCTGCTGTGCATGTCGTAGGCTGCCCTTCCACTCGTTGCTGAGGTGGTCTGTCCTGAGCATCCTCACGGATACCATTTCATTACTATCTTGCCTAGTACAATGTTTGCAATCTTCAGGACAAGGTCTTCTTGACAATGCATCTGCGTTGCCATGAGATTTCCCGCTGCGATATCTGATAGTAAAGTCGTATTCCTTCTGCTACAGGGCGGTGATGTTAGCCGCACTTCCCTTCTGAGATCGTTCACCTTCCCTTTCTAGGGTTCGCCTAGGGCAGCTGGATTGAAGATGGCCCCTTTCCCCACAGCCATAGCACCTAGGGCTGTATCCTTTATTGTGGTCGCGAACCGTAACTGCTGCAACCTCCCTAGCGTGAGGGTAACGATGATCCTGCCGCCGCCAGGCGGTGCCGTTAGCTGCACTTCCCTCTCGAGATCGATCAACTTCCTTTTCTACGGTTCGCTTAGGGCAGCTGGATCGAAGATGGCCCCTTTCCCCACAGCCATAGCACCTAGGTCTGTATCCATTATTGCGGTCGCGAACTACTGCAGCTGCTTCAACCTCTCTGACGCGATGGGAACGAAGATCCTGCCGCACGGCTTCCACCTCCAGTGCATGGGCCAAGGCGTTCTTAAACGTCTCGTGGTGCCCGAGCCTCACAGTAGCTCTGACTTCAAGGTCGCCGATGCCGTCGATGAATGTCTGCACCAGGTTCCCCTCAATGAGAGCAGGTACAGACTGGTATGCTTTCCGAACCATCTTCTCCACCTCAAGGGCCCACCGCTGCAGGTTTTCGTTGCTGCGTTGCACGCGATCTTTAAGCTGCGCACGAAAGACGTGTTCCAGGTGAGCGTCGCCATATCTCGCCTCCAATGCCTCAAGGAGCTGCTCGTAGGTCACTTTCTTACAGAGAGCTTCCAACACAGTTAAGGCTTGGTCGCGCAGGCCTAGGGTGAGTGCAGTCATGGCCTGGCTTTTACTCCAGCCGTTCGCCTCCATTACGGCCTCGAACTGGATTTTGTAGGTCGACCAGGAAGAAGTCCCGTCGAACGGCGGCCCTTTGAATCCACGTAGCGAAGGTGTTGTAGCTACTACGGGAGCTGTAGTTCCATCCCCAAGTTTGAGTTCGTCCAGTGATTTCTTCATGTCAGCCATTACGTTGTCAACCCGATTGTTTACTTGGTCGATTCGGGTTTCAGCTTTCTCGATTCGGGTTTCAGCTTCCGACAGGCGGTTGTCATGTTGAGCAACCTTATCCTTCACCTCCTTCATCTCCTTCCCTAAGGTAGCGTGAAGGTCCTTCATGAGGAGCATCTGCTCTTCCAATCGACGGGCCTGTTCCTCTTGTCCGCCCCGCAGCTGCTCTTCCAATCGGCGTGCCTGTTCCGCCTGCTGGCGGGCCTGTTCCTCCTGTCAGTGGGCCCGTTCCTCCTGCTACTCTTTCAACCAACGGGCCTGTTCCTCCTGTCCGCCCCGCAGCTGCTCTTCCAATCGGCGTGCCTGTTCCGCCTGCTGGCGGGCCTGTTCTTTCTGTCGGCGGGCCTGTTCCTCCTGCTGCTCTTTCAACCAACGGGCCTGTTCCTCCTGTCGGCGGGCCTGTTCCTCCTGCTGCTCTTTCAACTAACGGGCCTGTTCCTCCAGCCGGCGGGCCTGTTCCTCCTGCTCCTCTTTCAACCAACGGGCCTGTTCCTCCTGTCCGCCCCGCAGCTGCTCTTCCAATCGGCGTGCCTGTTCCGCCTGCTGGCGGGCCGGTTCCTGCAACATCATCATGAGAGCACCTAAGTCAGGTGCTGCAGGTGTAGGAGCTGTTGACGGGCCAGCCTCCGTGGTTGGCAGTTAGCCCCCCGACGTCTGCGGCGTTGCCTCAACGAATCTTCTTTGGTCCGTCTCCTGCTGGCGTTGTCTTCGGGTACGGACACCCTCTGTTTCCTCCTTAGGTAAAATCGGCATGATTTTATCCCACTTCTGACACCAATTGTTACTAGCTTATGGTTCGTGACAATAAAAACTTCCGATTGAATTACCAAATTTACACTTTTATTACCGAACACCAATTAAAACTTAAAAGACACTAATAATTAATCACACTAATTCACTTTATTTCGCTCCGAAGCTTCGCTTGTCTCGCCAAATTCAATACTGCCTCGATCGCGTCTTGCAGCGCCTTTAAATACACATTTTTCACTGAAACATCCAGAATATTCAAGTAAATACGGGTGCTGACCGACCACGCTCAGAAAGTTTGAGTGTGGGGCTTCTAGAAAGCTGAATTCTTCTGTTCGATACTAGATGGCGATGTTGGTCAAAAGTCAAGATTGACATTTTCTAGGAAGCTCTCCAGCTCTGGTCCCCGACACTAGATGACGCTGGTGCCGGGTACATGACGTCAACTTAGTCGCGCAACAGTATTATAAATGATTAGAATCGGAGACCGTTTTTATCGGTAACGAAGTATTCCATCATTGTCCTAAAGAGCAACAAACTAAGTGCCTAGTCGCATAGAAAAAGGCTGACAAACGTGCACATAGTCTATTTGATAGTAAGTGCTGTGGCTCATAAATATTTAAATCTACCCTCAATTAAGAATCAAAATGCAGATGCGCTATGCGCATATATATATGCGCGGACTAAGATGGAATGCCTCGTTTCCATTAAAAGCGGTCTCCGGTTTTCTACACAAATGTTACTGTTTCGAATGGTGAGTGTAGAAAACCGGCTATACAGCGGCTATTTTACGCTAGTATTCTGGTCCTTCTCCGATCCTACGTCAAGGTCGACTGACCTTTAGTTAACATTGATACTAATAGGACTTCGACTTATAACTTCCGTAATACTGGTGATGAGGATCTTGAACTACGATTGTCAATCATGCGGATTGTAAGTGTAGTGATCGCAGATAAAAATTATTGTTACAACATAATTTGGGTCGATACAAATATTACGTTAGTTATAGCCTACACACGTTCCTACGTCGGGCACAGGCCATGATGTCGGGATCATTTCTAAGTAGGTTTATAGGGCAAGAATGAGTTCACCACTCTGCTAGTGTAAAATTCTAAATCAGTAGTAGATTATGCGTGTTGTCGGACTTTGCACGGTATCCACGCACTTTAGGATAATATTTTTACGAAAAACATCGAATAAATTTTCAATTAATATTCTTTCTTTTCACTTGTAGTTGTTAGAAAGTCAAGGAGCGTGAATCGGTAGTCGGTACGTATTGCAAATCATTTTAATAAATTTGGCAAATAGCTAACTTAACTTATTCATCATCATCATCATTACAACCCTTTACAAGTCCACTGCTTAACATAGGCCTCACCCAAGGTATGCCACAAAGCACGGTCCTGAGCCACCTGCATCCATCGACTTCCTGCATGTCTTACCAGGTCGTCACTCCATCTAGTGGGGGATCGCCCTACACTTCGTCTAACCT